TGGTTCGTATGCTCATGCCCCCTGTCGCTTTTTTCTTTTTCTTCTTCTCGCCTGCAGGACATGACGCAAGTGGAACTGGATTCCGCCTTGCCGCAGACGACCGTGATGGTTGTGAGCGTGACGGGCTCCACCACCAGCGGCCAGCCTCTGTCGGAGGAGGACCTGCACGAGTGCATCAAGGTGTTCAAACGACTTTTTTTTTTTTTTTCGCGTGTGCTTATCCCGCGTACGAATTCTCTACTTGCTCCAGTCGAGTCGCTCACTCGGCCCCGTTCAGCCATCCTGGCATACCCGTGGTTTCCTGAAGAATGCCTCCTCCCCCTGTCGCCTACCCCCCCCCCTCCCCCCTCTCTTGTGCGGTAGTTTTGTAGTTTTGGCTCCATAGTTGATAGCCTTTTCCACCAGCGGCCGCTGTCCGTAGCACGAGAATCTGCAGGAGCGTAGCGTTTGCTCTACCATGTAGGCTTTTGGTGTTTCAGTACTTTATATACGCGCGCATGCGAAAAAACGTTCGTTTATTCCAGGCCGATATTTTTTATCAAAGCTCTTGCAATTGCTAGTACGATCACCACCATCCTGTGTCTCCTTCTCCTGTGCCGTAACGGACGGAATACTTGCGGCAGGGTTGCGAGGAGTACGAGGCCTTAGCAGCGGCGAAGGCATCGATCCTTGACTTCGTCGAGACGAGGATGACCAGCATGGCGCCCAACGTGTGCGCTCTGATCGGTAGCCGGATCACCGCCCAGCTGCTGGGGCTGACGGGGGGCCTGACGGCCATGTCCAAGACCCCATCCTGCAACCTACAGGTGTGTTGTTGTTGCCCTTCCCGTCGCCGTTGTTGTTGTTGCTGCTGCTGCTGCTGCTGCCTGTGGTGTTTAGTGGTGGTCATATTCTGCTGTTCTGCTGATACTGTAGGTGCCTTTTGGTGTGTTCTGGACACGCCAGTTGTTGTCAGTGGTACCCCCCTCCTCCCCCTTCCCTGCCCCCAGCGGGTCTAGTCTTGCTGCTTACGTACCAATCCTCATCTCTTCAGCGATCGTTCCCCCCGGTCCTGCCCGATCTGGGCACGCACACATGCAAGGGACCAGGAGACCAACCTTTGAGCTCCACACATCAGTCCCAGTCTCACTGCTGCCCGATAACAATGAGAGAGACCCTCGGAGGGCACGGTGCTATTCATGTTTTGACGTTTATCCCCCCCCCCCCCCCCTCCCCGACCTCTGTCTGCTTTTTGGCCTGTTATCAGGTGATGGGCCAGGAGAAGAAGACGCTGAGCGGGTTCTCCTCCAAGGCCACAGTGTCCCATGCCGGACTGCTCTACCAGAGCGACGTTGTACAGCTCGCTCCCCCTTACCTCAGGACCAAGGCCCTGCGGGTCACCGCCGCTAAGGTACGATACAGCACCCCCAAATGATAAGGACGTGCTTTGAGACTACCGTACGAGCTTGCTTCTTTCTTTTGCTTTCCTGGAAAAATGTTACAGCTGACGGTGTAGGGGGGTCGGCGACCGAGATCGTTGTACGTACCATGCATTGAAGTTGAACCCCTTCCGCATTTGCCGTTCTCATCGTCGTCTCCCCGCCACCGACTCTGTCAATTTTCTCGATGGCGGCGGTGGCTGCAGTTTGTTCCTTTTCGATTGAAAGTTCCTTTTCGATTGAAAGTTCCTTTTCGATTGAAATCGAACCCCGTCGTCACTGTTTGGCTGTTTGGTCCCCACCACTAACTGCGTACTCCACATTCCCCTTGCTGCCGCCCGTCACCCCTCCGTTGTTTTGTTTTTCCTCCTACTCTCCAAGGTGAGCCTGGCGTCGAGGTTCGACAGCTATGGCAACGACCCGTCGGGGCACGTGGGTCGGCAGTGGAGGGCCGAGGTGGAGGACAAGATCGAGAAGTGGCAGGAGATGCAGACCGCCAAGACGAAGAAGGCGCTGCCGAAACCCGACGACATGCCGGCCAGAAAACGCGGCGGCAGGAGGTATACATGTTTTTTGTTTTGTTTTTGTTTTTGTGATCCCGTTTGTTCTATAAACGGTGTCGACCCTTTCCTTTGCACCTTTGGGTACAATTCTGGACGCGCCAGCCAGCCGGGGCCACACAGGAGTTGTGTTGTCCACCTCGGCTAAATGAACGTTTGCATTAATATTGGTGTGATTGAGAATGTGGTTGGTTATTGTGTACGGGGTTGAACCACAGAAAATGTTTTTATGGAAAGGTTTTCGATGACAACAGCGGACGTTACTCGGGGAACTGATGCAACACATTTATGACGAACTCTGACGCTGATTGATTGGCCCAGCCCACAATTGCCATTCTCTCTGACGGCCCACCACTCGGCGGCGGCATGCATGCTGCTGCAACGAAACGAATCAGCTTTTAACAGTTTCCTCGACTGTCCG